GTAAAGCAAAGGACACTGTCATCAAAACAAAACGCCTGCCTACAGATTGGGAAAAAATCTTCACTAACCCTTTATCTGACAGAGGAATAATATCGAGTATATACAAAGAACTAAAGAAGCTGAAAAGCAGCAAACCAAGTAATCCAATTAAAAAAATGGGGAACAGAGCTAAACAGAGAATTCTTGACAGAGGAATATCGAATGGCAGAGAAACACGTAAAGAAATGCTCATCCTCATTAGCCATCAGGGAAATGCAAATCAAAACGACCCTGAGATATCACCTTACACCCATCAGAATGGCCAAGATGAAAAACTCAAGGGACAACACATGCTGGAGAGGTTGTGGAGAAAGGGGAACCCTCCTCCACTGCTGGTGGGAATGTAAACTGGTTCAACCACTCTGGAAATCTATCTGGCGCTTTCTAAGACAATTAGGAATAGTGCTTCCTCAAGACCCAGCTATACCACTGCTAAGTATATACCCAAAGTTTGCTAAAGTACACAAAAGAGATATTTGCTCAACCATGTTTATAGCAGCTTTATTTGTAATAGCCAGAACCTGGAAACAACCCAGATGTCCATCAACGGAGGAATGGGTACAGAAATTGTAGTATTTTTACACAATGGAATACTACTCAGCAATCAAAAAGGAGGAAATCATGAAATTTGCAGGCAAATGGTGGGACCTAGAAAAGATCATCCTGAGTGAAATATCCCAGAAGGAGAAAGACAAACACGGTATATACTCACTTATATAGACCTATAAGATATGATAAACATAATGAAATCTATACACCTAAAAAAGATAATCAAGAGAGTGGACATGGGGTAAGATGATCAATCCTCGTTTAGAATGACAGATGGGATGTGCATTGAACATATGACAGGAGTCTACTGAGCACATTGGAAAGACTCTAACTAGCAGTGTTTTCAAAGCAAAGACTCATGACCAAACCTTTGGCAGAGTACAGGGAATCATAAGAAAGAAGGGGAGTTAGTCTGATGAGGAAAGGATAGGAGCTCCACAAGGACCAAAGATATCTGGGCACAGGGTCTTTTCTGAGACTGACATGCAACCAAGGACCATGTATGAATGTAACCTAGAACCTCTGCTCAGATGTAACCTGTGATAGCTCAGTAACCAATTGGTTTCCCATAGTGAGGGGAACAAGGACTATTTCTAACAGGAACTCAATGACTGGCTCTTTGGCCTCCCCACCCCCCAAGGGAGGAGCAGTCCTGTTAGGCCACAGAGGAGAGCTTTGCAGCCAGTCCTGAAGATACCTGATAAAACAGGATCAGATGAACGGGGAGGAGGTCCCCCCTATCAGTGGACTTGGCAAGGGGCACGGTGGAGATGAGGGAGGGAGGGAGGGACTGGGAGGGAATGAGGGATCGGGACACGGCTGGGTTACAGAGTTAATAAAATGTAACTGATAAGAAAAAATAAAATTAAAAAAAATGAAAATAAAATAAACTTTCTCTTAGTACTGTCAAAAAAAAGATAAATTAATTTTAAAAAACACGTTTTTCTTTTTTTCCACTGTGATTTTATTATTATTGTTGTTGTTATTAATTGTACAATTATTCACCTTGTATCCAAGTTGTAGCCCCCTCCCTCATCTCCTCCTGGTCCCACTTCCCCTCCCTCCTCCCCTCTTCCTCTCCCCTAGTGCACTGATAGGGGAGGTCCTCCACCACTACTCTCTAACCCTAGCCTTTCGGGTCTCTTCACGACTGCCTGGATCCTCTTCCTCTGTGGTCTGGTAAGGTCACCCCGCTAGGGGGAGGTGATCAAAGAGAAGGCAACCAAGTTCATGTCAGAGACTGCCCTGTTCCCCTTATTAAGGCACCCACATGGAGATTGAGCTGACCATGGGGTACATCTGAGCAGGGGACCTCTTTATACATGGTCCTTGGTTGATGCCTCAGTCCCTGCAGGACCCCCTGGGCCCAGTCTTTTTGGCTTTGTTGGTCTCCTTGTGGAGCTCTCTTCCCCTCCAGATCTTTCTGTCTCCTCCTTCTTCCATATGACAGCCTGTGCTCTGCCCAAAGTTTGGCTGTGAGTCTCTGCATCTGCTTCTATCCTTTGCTTGCTGGAGTCTTGTAGGGGACATCTGTGGTAGGCTCCAGTCTTGTTCCCTCTCTTCTACTGCTTCTTCTGTTTTATTAATTCTTCCCTCATACATTACATCTCCACAGCTGTTTCCTCTCCTTCTGTTCCTCACACTTTCTTCTTCATCTCTCTTCTCTCCAAGGTCCACTTCTCTGTTTCCCTTCAGAAAACAACAACAACAACAACAACAAAACACCAACCAACCAACCAACAAACAAAAAATAACCAAAAAACAACTAAGCCTTCCAGGGATATCAACCAACATGGCACACAATTTACAATAAGATTAGGCACAAACCCTCATATCGGGTCTAGATCAGGCAACCCAGTAGGAGGAAAACGGTCCTAGGACAAGTTACTGTTAAGGGCAGGCCCAATTCCTAGCACAAAACAACCTCAATGACATCTTTGGAGGCTTTCTTTTGGTCTCAATTGTTAATTCAGAGCATTTATTTGTTTTTCTTTATTTTTTCAATTTATTATTATTATTTTACTTTAGAAATCTTTTATCTGTATTTTATGGTTTTCAATTTTGTGTTTCTATGGAATCCATATGTGTGTGAACATACATGTCTCTGTGTCTATATGTGTTTCCTGTGCTTATTCTTTGGCTTTTTTTTTTCTGTTTGTTTTGTCCTATTCCAATTCATTGTTTTTGTTTTATCCAATGATAAAAATTTAGGTGTCTGTTTGTTTTCTATGGACAGACAGAAAGGACGTGGACTCAGACAAGAGGGCAGTGGGAAGGCTCCTGTAGTATTTGGGTGAGGAAAAAGTCATAATCAGAATGTGTTGTAGGAAAAAGTTATTTCAATAAAAGAATAAAATGAAAAGATAAGGTAAAGCCTCTTAGCAAGTCAGTAATGGAAGAAGATCTGGGTCTTCCACAGTAAAGAGACAGTGACAAAAATATATCTGTGGATTTAGGAGTAAAATCTCAAGCACTTGCCTCTCTGGCATAACAACCAAAAAGAAATAGATTGGAAATAGAGCCCAGAAGTTTACTATGGAGAAAGACTTGCTCACTCAGGTCTGTAAGTCAGTTACTCTGCAGGCTGATAGGAACAGATTGTGATATCATAAGGATTCCCTGTTCCCTTTGGGCTGCAAAGCAATGGCTTTTTTTCCCCATAAGACACGATAAACTAAACCTAAGGTAAACACAAACAAAAGAAGGAATAGAGGATAAAGGAGACGTCCACGGGTCACAGATGCTGCTCGGAACTTCCCCAGGAGGGTGTCTGCTTACATCCCAAACTGATTAAGGACGTCTGCTTTGTTGTCTTATGGCTTACCCGAAAATTACATTATATTTGTATAATTCGGAAGCATCACCCATGAAGAATCATAAAATGTATTTAGTTTAAAATATGCCCCATCTATAAAGTGAATCATCAGGATCAAGCATTCTGCAGTCATTTAAATCTGAAGATTTTCAGGGGACTCTTCTGACATTTAAACAAGCTCCGAGTTTTGCTGTCTCAGTCACAGTGCATTAATCAAGCTCACTGACTCTGTTTCCTGTTGTAGCCACAGCTGTAAACCTGAGCCCCAACCTTAGACTCATGAAGAAGCAATTTGCCCTCGTTCTTTTCTTGCAGCCAATCTCAGCATTGCTTAATGCCTATTAAATGGAATAACAAACCTAATTACACATAGGTGGTGAAGTACAGAGAAATTTTATCACATTTTCTGATAAAGAGGGTTGGCGTGAGATTGACTTTATTGTACTTGGTTTTGACCATCCACAATATCTAATTCTGAAGAGTAGAAATGAAGAAAAATAAACTGTCTATTTTTTATTATAAAAAATTTGGTTCATGTGCATATTATTACTATTCATAAAGTGTTATGAATAATTTTTATAAAGTAGGATATCAGTAAAACCTCACAAAAATATCATTAACAATAACCCAGGCAGCCAAATGACAGTGGAAGTAACCTCAGAATATTTATTACTAAAAAAAAATTCCAAATGTTATCAACATTGCCTAAATTTCAATTAAAACCAAACTTTAGCAGTTCATCACCTTAACTACTCAGGCATCTTAGCCGCAGTGGCACATGCCTATAATCCCAGTCCTCAGCAGTCAGATAGGCAGAGGAGGATCTCAGTGAGTTCAAGGCCAGCCTGGTCTATAAAAGTGAGACCAGAACAGCCAAGGCTACACATAGAAACAGTGTCTCGAATAGCTAAAAGAAAGAGAAAGAGAGGGAGGGGGGAAGAGGGAGAGAGAGACAGAGAGAGAGAGAGAGAGAGAGAGAACAACATCAACAACAAAATCCTACATTTTATAATCTTTTAAAAGTTAAAAATATTTTCATAACAAATAACTAATATGCAAGTTTTTGTGGGTCTTCATTAAGAATGGGTGACATGTAAGATCCTTTCATAAAAGGTGACAAAATAATACTGGAACAAATGAGAAATAATTACATCAGTTTACAAATAGCTACAGAGTGTTGTCAGAAAGGCTAATGAAAAGCGGATGCAAAGTGAGATGTCCTCATACTTTTCTGCTTTTCTAAAAACCCAATTTCTACATAAATATAGACAGATATTTCTTATAGTGAGGATGCAGACATTACAATAACTGGATTATTTAAATACTGTGTATTGCAACTATAGTAATTACATCCAAATAATTATTTATAGCGCAATAGTTTTGTATCATTGTAGAGTATTTTTTTCCTTGTTTGGGAAACAAGTCTAAAATTCCCAGGTAAGCTGCAATTATATCTATTTTTAGCAAACAATTATGTGCTTTTAAGTCACTTTACATTGAAAACCCTTAGCAGTTTTATAAAAATATTTAAATATGAAGATAGTAAATTAATGTCCTAAATTAGGTACAAGAATGTTTCACTTAGAACAAAATAAATTCAACTTGTAAGTTTTGAGAGCCTGAACATTGTGAGAACCCTATTTCGTATCTTCTGGGTCCTTACACCATAAATAATTGGGTTCACCATGGGCGGTACAAGAAGATAGATGTTGGCCACAAATATATGTACTTGGGGAGCAACTTTATGTCCAAACCTGTGGGTGAGGAAGGAGGAGAAGGCTGGGGTATAGGACACTGGGCTGACACAGACATGTGAGCCGCAGGTGGCCAGAGCTTTGAGTCTGGCCTCCTTGGGAGGAAGGTGGAAGACTGTGTTGAGTATGAGGGCATAAGAATAAATTATCAACATGAAGTCCAACCCACCAGTGAGGAAGGCAACAGTGAGGCTGTAGGCTCTGCGAATGCTTGTCTCGGCACAGGCAATCTTAATGAGCGCCGTGAACTCACAGTAGGTATGGGGAATTATAGTAGTCTTGCAATAGGGAAGCCGACATAGCAAGAAACGGTGAGGACTGAGAAGGGCTACAGCCCTAAGTACAACAGCTAGACCAGTCTCTCCAGTTACAGTGTGTGTCAAAATAGCCGAGTGCCTTAATGGGTTACAAAGAGCTACATAACGGCCAAATGCCATGGCCAAGAAAAAGCCAGACTCCATGGTTGAGCAAGAGTGAATCAGGAAGACCTGAGTGAGGCAAGCTTCAAAGGGAATCTCTCCATCCTGAAACCAGAAGAGCCTGAGCAGTTTGGGAACGGCTGTTGTGCACACCACAAGGTCAGCCGCTGCCAGCATGCAGAGGAAGAGGTACATTGGCTCATGGAGGCTGAAGTCTGTCCTGATGATGAACAGAAGAGAACGGTTTCCCACTAATGCCAAAACGTAGACCAAACAAAAGGGAATGGAAATCCACACGTGTGCTGCCTCCAACCCAGGAGTGCCAGTGAGAATGAAGGTTGAGGGATGAACATAAGACTTGTTGTAGATAGACATAACAAGTATCAAAAGGCTTAACTTCCTCTTGATGGGTGTTTCCCATAAAAAATAAAAATAATTATATGCTATTACATATCATGGAAGAAGCAGCTATAATCACAGAATTACTCTGCCTTTGAAAAGTCACCGTTCAAATTCAGAAACTGTTGATATCTTTAATGAGGTCTTCTGGAAAATTTTCATTCCAATAGAATTCCCTGAAGTCTTTCTTCTCCTCAACCACACAGAGAACAACTTTCATACACTCTATTTATATATTAATGTCGCTATTTTAATTGCTGTATGGGTTTCTGTTTTGTAATATGATTCATGTATATATGCAAATGAGGAAGACATTTAAGTACCAGTATGCAGATTTAAAATGTTTTGGAAGTCCATTATCTTCCATTGGGGGGGAAATGTGATACTGATTGAAAATTGAAGCATGTGTTAAGGATTATGTTGTGGGGGAGTGAACATTTTCAATAAAGAAAATATTCTTTGGAGGACTAGTTGGAAGATTGTTTTCCTTCCTGTCTTTACTGGTTTTTCTCTTAAAAAATGTTAGCCACAATATTTTAAAGAAATTCCAGAGGAGTAGGTACACATGCATATGATACAGGAATAGCAATACATGGAACAATCAGTCAGTAGCAGCGGGTGATAATCGTGCAGTGGACGGTAATCCTTTCACTTCTACTGAGAACCGCTGAAGAGAAAAGCACGAGTAGTCAAAGGAATGTATATTCAGAGACAAGCAAGACAAAGCGTCTTCATGATACTTCACTGACTTCAGAACTTTTATTTTTGACCTTGCTAGGAGTTTTATTTTTCAATAAGTTAATTATTGAAACTCCTTTCCATTTATCTGAGTCAAACAATCTTTCCTTAGTCAAGTTGATACCACATATATTTTCCTCCATCAAACCTTGAGTTCACAAAATTCCCTTTGCCTTTGCCTTTCTGCATTGCCTGATTTTTTATTTGTTATAAACTTAATTTATTTATATATTTATTTATTACAATGTATTCACTTTGTATCACCACTGCAGCCCTCTCCCTCATCTCCTCCCAGTCCCACCCAGCCTCCCTTTTCTTCTCCTATTTCCTTTCCCTAGTCCACTGATAGGGGAGATCCTCCTCCCCTTCTGTCTGACCCTAGCTTATTAGGTCTCATCAAGGCTGGCTGCATCATCTTCCTTTGTGGCCTGGTGAGGCTGCACTGCTGAGGAGGAAATAATCAAAGAGCCAGCCACTGAGTATATATCACAGACAGCCCTTAGGACACCCACTTGGAGACTGAGCAGCCAATGGGCTTCCTTTGAACAGGGGGTCTAGGTCCTCTCCACACATCATCCTTGGTTGGAGTATCAGTCTCTGCAGGCCCCACTGGGCCCTAGCTTTTTGACTCTGTTGTTATCCTTGTGGGGTTCCTATCCCCTCCAAGTCTTTCTGTCTCCCTTTTCTTCCATAAGATTTCTGCCACTCTGCCCAAAGTTTGACAATGAGTCTTCAACAAATGGTGTTGGTCTAACTGGATGTCTACATGTAGAAAATGCAAATAGACCCATATTTTTCACCCTGCACAAAGATAATGTCCAAGTGGATCAAATATTTCAATATAAAGCCAGACACTCTAAATTTGTTAGAAGAAAATGTGGGGAAGAGCCTTGACCTCTATGACCTAGGAGACAACTTACTGAACAGAACACCAACAGCACAGGTTCTAAGAGCAAATTATTAAATAGGACCTCATGAAACTGAAAAGCAAAGGACACTGTCATCAGAACAAAAGGACAGCCTACAGACAGGGAAAGGATCTTCACCAACCCTTTATCTGACAGAGGTCTAATATCCAGAATATATAAAGTACTCAAGAAGTTAAACAGCAACAAATCAAGTAATCCAACTAAAAAATGGGGTATAGAGCTAAACAGAGAATTCTCAACAGAAGAATATCAAATGGCAGAGAAACACTTAAAGAAATGCTCAACATCTTTACTAATTTGGATAATGCAAATCATTGCCTGATTTTCATCCCCAGACTTGTGCTGTAGTTTGATGATTCTATTTGTTTAATTTTTAATATATTATTAGAGCAAAGCTTTGAAATTTGTATCAGTCTCATAAAACATAAGTTATTTTCATTCTCTTTACTTAGAATTATAATTGATGCTGCTCCTAAAATATTTACTAATATAGTCTTACATTATGGGTTGTTTATGATCATAAAAATTAACAGTGTCAAAAAATCAGGTTTATAATATTTATTACAGACTGGGCTCCATATAAAATTGGAAAGATATGATGCATATTACATTTTTTTCTTATGTGAAGTTTTAAAAACAAATTGTGTGCTCACTTCCGCAACGTGATCTTCAGTGTATTTTGAGGTGGGTATCCTTTTTTGATTATAAAAATAGCTGTATATCCATCTCAAGACAGCTTTGTAAATTTTAAGCAATGCAATTTCTAAATGATGCCATATAGTGAGTAGAACAAGAATATAAATAAAAAAAACAGGTTCTTAGAAAGTTATTTAATTATATATTTTACCATGTTTCTAAACCTACCAGTGATTGATAATACAGCAGTTTTCTGAGAATGTTGCATCTATGAACTCATAAATTTGATATACCTTTTCTTGAGTAGAGTCATCCTTAACTTTATAATTTTAAAAAGCTAGTAAGTGATAAACCTGGATTCTAGCTCAAATACTAACCTCAGGACCTTTAGGAATGTTGAATTACTCCTACAATTTATTTAAAATTAATATTATTTAATTACATTGGTATAAATAGAATGGCATTTGTAGACAGTACAAATAGATGGGTATTTCTATGTATATAACATAAAAACAGTAATTTGATTACAAGTTATGTTTAAAGCTTTTTTAAAATTACATGAAAAAACTCCTTCAAATATAATCTTTTCCTTTCCAAACTAGACAATCCCTCTTGCAATTGTGAACACTTACCTGAGAAGAAAATGTAAACTAACAAGGTTCTCTCAATATTAGTCTATTTTATAATTATGATCATGTAATAACTCTTGCTTATGAAGTAGACACATTCTTCACAGTTAGCAAAAAGCCAAGCAGATTAGTTATTCCAAGAAATCATATAGAAGCTGGTGTAAGTGACAGGTTGCTTTGAGTAAAGTCATGGAACCTTCCATTTGTTCCATCTATACCTAATATGGTCACATAATGAGAGTTATTGTGTCTTCATTACCTCATTAGCAATTCTGTAGCATCAAGTTGAATATCTGCTAGGCTTGAGTAAGTTAGCTTCCTCCCTGACTTACTGTGTGTTATGACTGAATCCAGTTATGGACCATTTACAGGTGCCTCAGGCTTCCTTTTGGAATCAAGAAAAACAAAACAAAACAAAACAAAAGATTAGAAGTTGGAGATTTGAGGTCAGAGAAAACTTTTAGTTCTTTGGACTCACATCTTAAGAGCAGGAGACTATAGAGTGCAGAGTATTCAGGGAAACTTCCTCCTCTGTCTTTGCAACCTCCCTCTCAGGAGCATATATTAAGTGAATCTCAATACATAATTCTAAACAAACATGAGATGATAAGACGGAGACTCAACCATTTTTAGTGAAAGTGGTATTCCGTGGCTGTGAGAAAATAAATATCCTGACCTTAGGGGAAATGCCATTTCTAGCAGTTTAATTGTCCGGGTTACAGTCCATTAGTGTAGGAAGCCAAAGAAATAACGTTAAACAACGAATCACATCCACACTCAAGAGCAGATAGAGGACAGAAGCATGCATGCATGCTTCCCTGATTACTTGTTTGATCTTAGCTTGAATTCTCCACTTTTATATAGTCCATGATGCTCTTTTCAGAGAATGATGCAATGCACGGTGGGCTGGGCCTTCCCACATCAATTACCTTAATTAAGATAATACATTACAAATATAACCATAGACAGCCTGAATCAGATAACCTCCTTTCTGGTTATTCTGTTTTGTCAAGTTGACAGTTAATGCTTACCATGACAAAGGTCAACATTGCTAGTGTTGTTAGATATAAAACTTGGAATCATATAAATTTATTGTTGTAGTGCATTGCATTCTTCACACATGTGTTAAACATGTATGTGTGCTATATATTACCTATAATGTATATTATCTATGATGATGCGGAGAGGCCCATACTATAACTATGTCTAGTTCATAAAACATAATTGTAATTCCAAATGAATATAGAGAGCTCATTCAAAGTGGTAAACATCGATAAATATCTGCCAAAAATTTGAAAGTCCCCTTCTTATATTCTCATATCCCATATTCTCAGAAGAAGATGGGCAAAGTAAGGTTCTTAAGTTCTGGTTTCATGGGCCTTAAAGCTCACAATATAAACAAAATCCTCTGTGCATTGTTGCATTGTTATTCAGTCTTCTCTCTCTTCTCACCTTTCCCTGCAAAATGTGCCATCAATATGGTGCTGAGAAGATTTAGAGTGTTCCAAAGAGCCATAACTTTGTTACATGAGTGGTAAAAAAAAAAGAAAGAAAGTGAGTTTGTTTGACATGCTTCATACATCATGAATTACAGTGCTTTGTGCCATAAGTTAAAAGTTCAAGCATCATAGTCCTGTTAGATATATGCCCCACTCCCTTAACTATTGAGCTGACGTGCCCACTGGGCTCATCTTCTTGTGTCTGAGCATTGTAGTCTGTCTATCCTGTACCATATGACCAAAATCCACTCATAATGAGTCTATACCATGTGTGTCTTTCTGGGTCTGTCTTACCTCACTCAGGATGATCTTTTCCAGTTCCATCCATTTGCCTTCGCCTTTCATTATTTCCTTGTTTTTAGTGCCTGAGTAGTATTCCATTGTGTAAACGTACCACAGTTTCTTTATCCATTCTTCAGTTGAGGGACATGTAGGTTGTTTTCAGTTTTTGGCTATTATGAATAAAGCTGCTATGAACATGGTTGAGCAAATGTCCTTGTAAGGTGGAACATCTTTCAGGTGTATGCCCAGGAGTGGTTCTTGAGGTATGGTTATTCCCAGTTTTCTGCGAAAGTGCCAAATTGATTTCCAACGTGGTTGTACAAGTTTGCATTCCCACCAGCAATGGAGGAGGGTTCCCCTTTCTCCATATCCTCTCCAGCATGTGTTGTCACTTGAGTTTTTGATCTTAGCACATCTGACAGATATAAGATGGAATCTCAGACCTGTTTTGATTTACATTTTCCTGATGATTAAGGATATTGAGGGGAGAAAGACAAACTCAGTCCTCATGTGAATGTAGATGAGCTGGGTAGGGGGCTCCCTTATTCTGAAGATTAGGGGAGAGGGGATGCAGAAGGGAGGTAGGATTGGGAGGAGAAGAGGGAGGGGCCTATGACCAAGACTTAAATGGAATTAATTAATAAAAAAATGAAAAGAAAGTTAAAGCATCAATACATGTCCCCAAAGGAAAGAAATATTTCTCTTTGTGTACATTGTGTCTGTGGAAATCTTTTTATCTATCTGTAGTGTGTGATGAATGCATGGAAAAGAAGTTCTGCATCATATTTACAGGATGACACTCTTCCCGGGATAAGGTCACCTGTACTTAGTGTCCTGTGTTCAAATTGAAACTCTGACGTGAAAATCCTCAAATGGAAAAGGTTTAAGTCACTGAACAAAATTGCTAGTGTCACATACTGGATAATTTCTTTCAAGTTGATGGTTGTGGGTAGAGGATCCAAGAGATCCTAAAAACAATATAGGTGATTGCCATTGTTTTTTCTTCTACTAGAACTTGACTGTAAAGCTCTATTGCTGGAGATGCAACATATTTTGTACACAGAACATGGAGACACCAAGTAGTTACTTACTTGGCAACTTTCTCCATTTGGGATAGCTTACACTGTGTCAGAAAGTACTACACAGGCCCCTTGGGGGTTGGGGAAAATCATGAATAATTTTTACACATCTATGATCCCTGCTATCTATCATATTGACCAGCCTGATAATATACATTCATTAGTGTAATGATGGCACAAATATTATGGTGGATAAGCAACAGCTTTGTGGTTTGTGAAGTCCCACTGCGCCCTGTAATTTCTTAATCCCCACTGTTGCCTGGCTTCAATAGTTCCCCTCCCTAACCAAGAAGCTATCTCCAATTGACATTTGTTTGCAAAGAAAAAGTTTGCTTTTTTCCAGTGGTGTCTCTCTGGTGATCTTAACAACACTTAAGAGTAGGACCTATACCTAGAGTAGATGTTCAATAAAAATATTTTGGGTTCTCTGTCTCTTTTTCTCTGCCTCTCTCTTTCTCTCTTTTTCCTCTCCCCTTTCCCCCTGTGTGTATACATATGTTTGCTTGTGTATGTTTTTTGTGCTTTTTACTTTTTCAATTCTATTTTTGTTTGTTTTTCTGTTTGCTCTTTTAAAGAGAGAGGTAAGGCACGAAGTTGGGTGCGTGGGAAGGTGGATGAGGATCTAGGAGGACTTGGGATGGGAAAACAATGATCAGAATATATGATAAGAAAAATTATTTTCAAATAAAAAAGAAATACAAGCACAGGTAACTTTTTTAAAAATATGATTCCAGTTACTCAGTAAATAAGGTCAACAATCAATAATTGGGATTTCAAGAAATTACAAAGCTTCTTTTCTGTAAAGGGAACTATTCATAGAGTGAATAGTCATTTAACAGAATGGGCAGACATTGTTGCTAGCTATGTAACTGGTAGAGGTTTCGTGGTTAGAGGATACAAAGATTTTCATAAAAGGAACAGAAAGAAAGAAAATTACTCGATTAAAAATAGTCTAGAGAATCAAACAGAGAGCAAAAAAAAATCACAAACCAATAAATAAAAAACAGTTTAAAAAATGGTCAACATTTTAGCCATCAGGCATCAAACTACTTTGATGATTGTCTTACATCAGAGTATCAATTGTTTGAACAGAACATACACACACACATCAAAAAAAGAAGAAAAAACTCCAAACCTAAAAAACAAACAACAAAAAACCCAACAACCCAAACAGTATATGCTAACAAAGTAACTTTCTGTTAAGTACTGCATGGAACTTCCACAGAGCCTAAATATAGAACTTCCATGTGACCTAGATCTATCTCTTATGAACTTATGCTGAAAGGACTCCATACCCTACATCAGAAAAACCTGAACTACAGTGTTGTTCATTGTGTCTCTATTCGCGATACTTAGGAAGTAAAACCACTTTGGGGTTTCATCCACTGATGGATGCATATTGAAAAGGTGGTATGTATACACAATGGACTTTTATTCACTGGGAAAGAAGACTGAAATTTGCAGTAAAGGGATGCCTCTGGAAAATTCTAAGTGGGGTAACCTGGCCTAGAATGAACAACAAAGCCATAGTCACATGTTCTCTCTTACATAAAGAACCTAGCTGTGTATTCTAAGAGTAGTCTGTTTAATACTGAGAGATGGTAAAAAGACTAGTAGAAAGGGTACATAAGAGGGTAGGAGTGCTAATAGTAGAACACATTATTCATGAAAATGGAGAGGGGATACTAAGGTAGAAAATCTAACCAGAGAGTGAGGTGGGAGAGAAGAGAATGGAGAACAAGGGAAGATGATCTCAGTTAAGAATATGAAAAGAAAAAAAAGCCAGCCATATGGGAAGCAATAGGGTAGTAAAAATAGTATCTAAAAATTAAAGAATATGACTGTAGGTGTCCCTCATGGTTGGATAATGATCTTCCCAGAAGCCATGAGTGATGGGGGAAAAAAGTAATGCTCAATGTAGGAATCTCCACATGAATTGTTGGCCAGGGAGTTCCCTAAGCCTCCTGAACAGGATAGGCTCCTTCTATTACTCTTCACTGTTCCCAAGAACTTGATGATAAACTATTGCCAAACACATCTCAACATCTGGTCACAGGTCATAGAGAAACCAAGCTGGTGCTGAGCTGGGAAATTCCTCCAACCAGCTACTCTTCCCAGCCCCAAAAGGTGCCATTACAGCTGCTTGGGGAGAAACAGCATCAATGTTATTAGTCAGTTCTGATTGGGACTGAAATACGGGAGGTACAATAATGAATGACCTAAGAGGTGACTTGTCTCCTAATGGTGCATCTATTATGGGGTTAGTCAGTTGCTTGATGATTGGATTTGCAATCTGTTTTCTTCACAAGAAAGATCTCATGCATAGTCTTACAAACTTTGTTAAAAAAACATTGACTTGGGGGTGGTGAGAATCATGGGCTCTGTGGAGTCTACTACTATTGTTTTTATAAATGCACATGGACATGTTGTCAAACTAACTTTTAAATTCTTACATTCATGCTCAAAGGTTAGGGGTGCACTCACTCCAGCCTTCATCAAGAAGTTTCTTACTGGAGTAGGCAATGGCTAAACACGTAACTGGCCGAAGTGCTGAGAACTGGTGATGGAGGTGTGCTTCAATGCTGTAACACTGTCGTGGTCAGGGAATATTGTGGAAAAGGAGGCAGAGCAATATAAAACCAAGATGGGGAGAGGCACAGCAAAAAATGACGTCTTCTCAATCTGATATTCCTTTTGCAATCATGAGCTTACTGCTACCCTGGTTATCTTCACATGATTTAGAGAAGACTGGACCCAGATGGAGGCAGAAAATAATGTGAGAGACAACTGGAACCAGGAACATGGGGTTGGGGTGGGGTGCAGGCAATCCGTGGGATGAGCTACACACCTAGAATAATGGAGACTCCCAGAAATCTATGAGGGTGTCCCTGGCTAAGACTCCTAGCAATGGGGTGTACAGAACTGGAAGTGGCGGATAGATTGGGGCACCAGTCCAGCCACCAAACCTTCATCCTGCAGTTGTCCTTCCTACTACTATGTTAGGGTGAATGTGATCTAGAAGCTGTGGGAGCAGTCAGCCAATGGCTGGTTCAGCTGAAACCCGAGCCATAAGAGGGAGCCCAGCCCTAACACCACCTGGAGGGCCATGGTTCAGAAGCTGGATAGGTCAGAGACGCAGGATAGGACTAGACATGACTGAAAAAAAAAAAAGCCGAGGAAATGATTCCTAATGATAGTCGGCTACACTCAGATTGCTGCCAATTGTCATCAGAGAGGCTTCACCCAGCAACTGATGGAAACAAACGCAGAGACCCACAGCCAAAGATTAGGCTGAATTTAGGGAATCCTGCAGAAGAGGAGGAGGAAGAATTGTAGGAGCCAGAAGAGTCAAGAACACCACAAGAAAACCCACAGAATTAACTAACCTAGGCTTGTGGGGGCTCGCAGAGACTGAACCGCCAACCAGGGAGCCTGCATGAGGCTGACCTCTGCGTGTATGTTACAGTTGTGGTTCTGTCTTTTTGGGGGACTCCTACAGTGGGAACTAGGGCTGCCTCTGACTCTGCTTCTTGCCTTTGGGACCCTTTCCTCATACTGGGGAAGACGTGTCTGGTCTTACTGCAACTTTATATGCCATGGCTGGTGATGTCCATTGGAGGCCTTCCCTTTTCTGAAGAGAAACAGTGAAGGAGTGGATGTGTGGTGGGTAGAGGTGGTGGGATGGAGGGGCCTGGAGGAGAGGAGGGAGGAAAAGTCACCATAGTTTTATATATAATATATAATATTTTTATATTTTTATATTATACATTATATATTATATGTCATGCCATATATCATATATCATAGATTATATGCATTATATCTATTATATTATATATGATTTTAAATATATATAAGATTATACATAATTGTTTAATATATATGATCTAATATATGTAAGATATAATCTTATAAACATAAGATCTATATATAATACGGTCTAATCTTTTACATATATATAAAGATGTATATATAGAGAGATAGATCTAATATATATGATATAATCTTATCTATCTATCTATCTATCTATCTATCTATCTATCTATCTATCTATCTATCTATCTGAGATTAGACCCATCAACATTCTGTTGTGAATAAAGGCATCCATGAGACCCACACGTCTCATAGATGGAATATTGGCAGGTAGCATTTGTCGACGGGGCTCACTTTCTTCAGCTGTAGAGCCCCAGAGAACTTGTCCTTGTTCTTCTGATTAATTTCCCACCTAAGCTCAGGGAAGTAACTCTAATTAATATTGGTGTGCCACATACAAAAGGAAGGCAGGAAAGTAGGAAGGTAACTGATTAGGAAGAGTTCCATTGGGACATTGAAGGAGTTGAGGGAAGGAAATGGAGATGGAAATTGAGTAAAATTCATTATATAAATGCATGAAACAATAATAAAATGGAAATAATATGACTACTTAGACAAAATTTATTTTCTTTAATTAATGCATATTTCTCTAAAGCTAGCATTCAAGGTATTGTTAATGAAAAAATAAAACAAAATTATTCATTTTTTTCTTATAATTTTTAAAAATAACTGCATTTTTCTCCTCTTTTAATATACAGCCTTTTGTAAGCATATTTTTCTTTCTTTATGTTTTAATGAGTTCCTATTTTTTTTTCCATATATGTGACTAGAAAGAACTGGTCTTTATTTTTTCTGCACTATTTAAGTTAGCAAAGCGTTTTACAAGGCTAACCATGTTGTCACGAATGGCAAGGATCCATTGACTAGCTTAATTATATTTCTTTGTTCCTTTTATTTCCTATGAGAGACGCTGGGGCTGAGATATCTTTCTTATGATGGTCAAACGGTAAATGAAACTTGATTGAATGTTCTTACTCTTTGCCTCACAAGGTTGCTGTGTCTTCTGTGTGAATTTGAATATTCTCTGAAAATAAGTTTTATCCATGGTACTTATTAACTGGATGTTTCTGTTGGAAAGGGGATCCAGAAACTTTCTGTTTTGCCATCTTGCTGGCATAATCCTGATGTTTTTCCAACTTGACTGCATGGGAAACCAGAACTGCCCATGTTACAGAACCGTAACATGTTCTGTGCTTCGATCTAAACAATTTAAATATCCTCCTGTGTAGCGCTGGGCTAGAAAACAGACCCCTTGGAGACCTTCTGTCTTTTAGAAATCATCTCGGGGGACTATCCCAGTGAAAGTGCCTGTCTGTCCTGGAAAGACCAGATTCTTCATAAAGATGGAGGCCAGTGGCTAAACAAAGGAGACAGGGGCTCTATCCTGTTTCCAAGCCTTGTGGCTCTTCTTTGTCTTTCACCTCAAAGGTGAGTCCTACAGACATAGGGATGAAGAGACAAACAGACAGACAGGCAGACAGACAGACAGACAGGGTGGAGAGATGGGGAATCAAAAGATAAAAGTTTTAAAAGATAAAAGTATTTTCAAGAGCATTTGTGTTTCAGCAGGAATCCTTTCTATGTACATTTTATAAAAACCCACCTCTTAATACCCAAAGAATGATGAAAAGAATATATTTTCAGATGCATTAAAATAATTGTTGCAGGCCAGTTAGAGCCATCCTCGCTTGTTATTTCAGTTTTATCCAGGCAAAGGTGACAAAAATGGTGAGGTTGTACAAATTTCATGGTTGAGAGTTTACGTTTCTTTAGACTTGTCAGGAAATAGAATTTGAACATCTTAGTCCAAGACAGAGCTTATGTCATAGTTAACCAAGAAATAGTAATGTCCCAGCAGTGTAGGATAAACGCATTGTTCTTAAGAACATGGGGACAATAACTGTATTCTTTAAAGGATGCATGAGAACAAAGGACACTGTTGCGCAGGTTTCTGACCAGGTTAGTGCACTGAATAGAAGCAATCTGGGACAGCTGTTCAATTTCACCACTCTCTGTATGTCTTCAAATTACGTCTATTTGGTATATTGTCTACTAAATCAGCTTAGACACTATTACAGCATTGGATATCAGTTTTTGTGTTCATATGTAATTTTCTTTATCCTCTTATTTTTAAAAAAAAATTAGCAGTACTCCAATGATTTCTTTGAGTCAAGATTTTAAGTATCCTTTACAATTAAATTTAAATAAACATAAATCATGAGCATGAAACATATTAGAAAAAAAGATTTTCCTCTTTACTGAGATTCTATTACAAGTAGGTATGCTGGCAAAAAAAAAAAAATAATAGCTTTCAGAGCCTAATCATAATGCTGATTACGGTATGATAACGCTGATTACGGTATGATAACGCTGATTACGGTATGATAACGCTGATTACGGTATGATAACGCTGATTACGGTATGATAACGCTGATTAGCTATCTTCTTTATTTGCAAATGAATAATAAATAAGTGGCCACTATGCTGATAGAACCCTGCCTTAGCCCATAAGGCATCACGCCTTCTAAAAAGTTTTCTCTGTCCCACCATAAGGCAATCCTTCTGGAGCAAAGAAAACCAAAACAAACTCTTTTCTGATGGAAACTTCAGTGAGTTCAATTAAACAAATGTCCTTTGTCCCTGATTTCTCTCCTGTTGAAATGCTTGCTTTTCTAGAAAGAAGTCCCCAGTTCCCCCCCCCCCCCCATGTCACATTCCTTTTTCTGTTACCTACGTATGAAGGAGTCTTCCCAGCCCACCCAGCGTCTGTCAGCGTCTCCTAGGTACACCTGGCTCTTATCCTGACTCTGAGATCTTGATGAGAGTTGTTTTGTTCCTCTGGAATTGTGCAAGGCTAACCATGAACAAGAGCTCCTTTTTACTGTGAAACCACCAGCATAACAAAAGCTTTGAAAACATCCCTTCACAGTGTCATAAGTAAGGTGTATAGCCTCAGGCAACCGAGAATGTATGTGACTATTAATTATACAGAACACATTATTTTCTTTGTATCTGTCTGATCTTTGAAATTTGTTCGGTATGCTTTGCCCAACTCTTAAAATCTTCATTGTCTTGGATTTAGGGGAAATATACTAATATATATATAATCATTTGAATAGACACACATTTAAAATATATTAGGTATGTAAATACGCACATTCTGGGGAGCTTTGTAACTTGCAATTAAGGCAGAGATTATCACTTCTTTTTTATTCTCTATTTTAATTCATTATTTTCTCTGAATTTCCCCTACCTAAAAGCTATAGAAACACTGAGCATTTGAAGAATCTGGAACCATGTGAAGGTTGCTCCGTTCACAAGATGTAAGGCTGTGTGTGCTGTCTATAAATGTGGGTAAGGATTACATTTTTTGCACAGGTTTGACATCACAGCTCGTATAGACAGTGCCTCAATACTTGATGCAATTACTTTGACTGTCTTACACCATCATTTTGAAATTATTATAAACATATACCGAAGATAAGTCAATTCCAGGCCTTTAATGGTTTTTAATAGTTGAGATTACATTTCAATAAATTATAGTGACAACATAATTATGTCTGGGTTAACAGCTAGAGAAATTGATGCTTAGTACAGAAGCTTCCTTGTCAAAGTGAAAAAAAATTCCGTTGGTCATGATGAGAGAGGATATGTAATGAGTGTCTGCTAAACCAAACCTTTACCACAACATCAATGACAAGGCCAACACAGATTAATAGAGACAAACAGCACCAAGATGAATATATTCCTACTCTTAATCTCGATTCATGGCATAACTTCTGTTCGAGCCATACAAAATTACTCATATATTGTTTCTATGTAGATGCTTTGGATTGTGTGTTTGTAATGAAGCACAGAGAGTGTACAGTTGGTACAATGTTCTTACTCAGGTCTCTCGCTCCACAGAGTTTGACCTGCAACCCCGAAGGCTGGTGAGTGTTTATTTCTAAGAACCATGGACTTAGGTATGAATGAGCAGGATGTTCCTTCCCAATGACACCCAGTTTCACCCTTCTTCCTTCCTACTGCTGGGAGTCCCAGGACTAGAGCCTCTGCACACCTGGATTGGCTTTCCTTTCTGCGCCGTGTACTTGATTGCTCTCCTAGGGAACTTCACTATCTTGTTGGTGATTAAGACGGACAGCAGCCTCCACCAGCCCATGTTCTATTTCCTGGCTATGCTGGCTACCATCGACTTGGGCCTCTCAACAGCAACCATCCCTAAGATGCTTGGGATCTTCTGGTTTAGCTTCAGGGTAATACTCTTCGGTGCCTGCCTCACCCAGATGTTCTTCATCCACAACTTCACAGGCATGGAGTCAGCAGTCCTCTTGGCAATGGCGTATGACCGTTATGTAGCCATTTGTAACCCGCTTCGGTATAGCACCATCCTCACCAACAAGGTTGTTTCCATGATTGGTCTGGGTGTGCTAGTGAGATCGTTTCTTTCTGTTATTCCATTTGTGTTTCTCATACTACGGTTGCCCTTCTGTGGGAATCACGTCATTCCCCACACCTACTGTGAGCATATGGGTCTCGCTCGTCTGTCTTGTGCCAGTATCAAGGTCAATATAATCTATGGTCTGGGTGCTATTTCAATCCTGGTCTTTGACATCATAGCCATTGCTCTCTCTTATGTACAAATACTCCGTGCTGTTTTCCGTCTCCCTTCTCGGGAAGCCCGAATTAAGTCTCTCAGCACCTGTGGTTCTCATGTCTGTGTCATTCTTGCCTTCTACACACCAGCTCTCTTTTCCTTCATGACACACCGCTTTGGTAGGAATGTGCCTCAATATATACACATACTCCTGGCCAACCTTTATGTGGTAGTGCCACCGATGCTCAATCCTGTCATATATGGGGTAAGAACCAAGCAAATCTATGACCGTGTGAAGAAAATGTTATTACAAAAATAATATATATATATTATTTATATATATATAATACTTATCATAAAAAATGTTTGAGCAAAGGGATGCCTTGTTATATTATGTAAAATGTAAATACTTTTGCCAGAAAGTTTTATTGTCTTGTGTGATTTTGAATTTAGACTGTGATATATCAAGCATTATTGTCCAATTCATATGGTAAATGTATTCATATATGTCAACTCACACACATATATGTATTGTTTTCATGGACAAAACAAATTATTTAAATAAAATTCAAGGAACTTTTCATAACCTGCAGAGGCTGCTTGAATTTTCCACCCATTCAATTGTTCTTAGCTTATGTTAAACAAATTTTTTAGTTACTTTACCGTTTGTCTCAACATGGCTCATATGACTTTAATATTTAAAGAAAGGTTGCATGCCCTCATGTACTTTCTTTAATATATGTTTTAATTTTTCTCAATAATTTGTTTCACAAACGTAGTCCTGATTGCTTTCTCACACACTAAATATGAGTTATTTAAACAATCAATTTATTTATTTATCTTATGTCTTATGTGTGGATGTTTCGCCTGCATGTTTGTCTGTGCATCACGTGGATGCAGCATCCATAAGGACAGAAGAGGGCATCAGACCCTGGAATTGGAGTTACGGTTGGGTGTTCTCCTTCAAATGGATACTGAAAACCTTAGGAGTCTTACCTGATCCCCTGCAAGAGCCGCAAGTACTCTTAACCTGTGTGCCATCTCTGCAACCCAAGCAGGAGGGATTTAAAGCCACGATGCTCTGCTGTATTTAGTATCCTGCTTTAATACAAATCAGTCTTGGCAGCTGCTGGAATTACTTGTATTATCATTTTGTTTTGTTTTGTTTTTCTATACCTGAGACGTTTGCTGCTATTAATATATTTTGAAGTTGTAATGTAACCAAAGTAAGAATATTAAAAAGGTTAGTTGATATCAAAATGAATTTCCATATATCAGTATATCATAAATATTGAAAGTTATATTTAGAGAAAATGTATGCACGCAGGCTGTAGAATAAAGGGGTGCTTTTAACACTGCAACCTTATGAGCAAATGGCTTAATTATCTGATATATAGCTGAGCATGACACTCAGAATCCTGTCTTCCCACCTCAGCCTCCTGAGTGCTGGCATTCGACTCAGTTCATGTGGCAATGGAGACTGAATCCAGGTCTTCATCAATTCCAGATAATCTGCCAACTAACCTGCATCCCCATTCAAAAATAAGTAAATTATAAAAGCATTTAGCATGCCAATAAGTTGTGTTGGGGCAAGTTTTTCAAACATAATTGATTTACTGATGCAAAATAAATTTAAGTTGGTAGATTATTTGTGACAAGTAATTTTTCTATTATAAATAATAACCAAGCTAGAATCTGTAGTCCTGGAGAGGACAAATGAAGAGGAAGAGATGAGGGAAGACACATGGATATATCAGAGAGAGAAACAGAATGGATTTCGTGGGTGTACTACTGACAGTAGTGACAGAAAGAAGGATTAGGTGGGGAGGAGAGAGAAGAAGAGAGGAGGAGAGATGGACATGAAGGGGAGAATGTAGGGAGAGACAGCTAAAATTGAGGGTAATTTCAGAATTGGTATGGAAACTTAGGGCGTTGAAAGTTCGTAAAGTATATGAAGGCAATTATCATAGCCATGGGCTACATCTGTGCAGGGTTCTAAGTTATCTCCATGCATGGTACTTGGTTGGAATAGCAGTCTCAGGAAAGACCCCTGTGCCCAGATTTTTTTGGTTCTGTTACTCCCCTTGTGGAGCTCCTGTTCCCTCCAGGTCTTACTATTTCCTGCACTCTGCCCAGAGCTTGGCTATGAGTCTCAGCATCTGCTTTGATACCCTGAAGGGTAGAGTCTTTCAGAGGCCCTCTGTGGCAGGCTCCTGTCCTGTTCCCTGTTTTCTCACTCTTCCTATGTCCATCTCATTTGCCTTTCGGAGTGAGAATTGATCATCTTACCCAGGGTCCTCCTTCTTGCTTAGCTTCTTTAGGTGTACAGATTTTAGTATGTTTGTCCAATATTATATTCTAATATTCACTTATAAGTGAGTATATACCGTGTGTGTCTTTCTGCTTCTGGGATAGCTCACTCAGGATGATCTGTTCTAGTTCCCACCATTTACCCGCAAATTTCATGATTTCCTTGTGTTTAATTGCTGAGTAGTATTCCATTGTATAAATGTATCACAATTTCTGTATCCATTCCTCAGTTGAGGGACGTCTGGGTTGTTTCCAGGTTCTGGTTATTAAGAATAAAGCTGCTGTGGACACGGCTGAACAAATGTCCTTGTTGTCTATGGTCCGGCCACCCTGAACGCACATGACCTAGTCTCATCTCTGAAGTCAGTACATTTATCCCCGCTGGAGAGGAGATGAGAGGCCTTATCTAACTTGGTGATTCAGGATGTCTCAATGCAGAGCTTCTCCCCCTGTGGGTCTCAACCACTGGAAAACACATGTTTTTGATGGACTTAGGAACCCCCAGCCATAAATGGATTGTCATGGCTATTCCATACCTCTGATTTCCCCCTGGGCGGTGTCTCTGCTCTTAAGACCACCGGATGTGTGTATTTTCTGATGGCTGCCATTCACGGGTTGAGAACCGCTGTTTTATCGAATGTTCCTGAAGATACGATGTAGAATGTGAGATAAACACGTGATCTGGTAATGCCTTGACATAGTTATTATTTCTCAGAGAAATGAGGATTAAAAATGTCCCAGGAAGTCTGTTCTCTCACATGGTTACTTTATGTGGTAGTTTTTTTTTCCTTCTCATTAATTCATGTATTCACTTTACATCCTGGTCATAGCTCCCTCCCTCTTCTCCTCATGGCCCCACTCTCCTACCCTCTCTCCCACACCTGTTCTCCTCATAAAAGGTGAGCCCAACTCCCACCAACCAGACCCAGTACATCAAGTCTCATCAGGACTAAGTGCATCCTCTGCATTGAGGCCAGAAAAGGCAGCCCAGCTACGGGAAAGTGATCCAAAAGCATGGAACAGAGTACATGTCAGAAATAGCCTCCTCTCCAATTGTTAGGGGACCCTTATAAACACCAAGCTGCACATCTGATACATGTGTGTAGGGGCTTATGTCCAGTCCAAGCTTGCTCTCTTGTTGGTGAATCCCCATGTGCCTAGGATAGTTGGCTCTGTTGATCTTCTTTAGGAGTTCTTGTGCCCTCAAGGTCCCTCTATCCTCCTGCAACTCTTTAACAGGACTCCCCCCTGTCTAACGCTGAGTTTTGGGAATCAGCATCTGTTTTATGGCAGTTATGTCAGGCTCCTGTCTGCAAGCATAGCAGAGTATCATTAATAGTGTCAGGAGTTGGCTTCCTCCCATAGGGTATGTCTCACGTTGGGCCAATCATTGTTTGGTCATTTCCTCAATCTCTGCTCTAACTTTATCCCTGAACATCTTGTAGGCAGGGTAAATTTTAGTCAAAGGTTTTGTGGTTGAGTTGGTGTCCTTCACCCTCCACTGAGCATCCTGCCTGTCTACAGGAAGTGGCCACTTTGAGCTTTAATGTGTGTGTTGTGGAGAAGTGGTTAGGAAGACTTTCTACTCAGCATCAATCTATTTTCTGTCCCTGATGAAGAAAGTGCAATCTTTCTCAAGAGACTCTTGAGGTGTTAATCCTGGGAGACAAATGGATTTGAACAGACTTTAATTTTAGATGGTCTCCAAGGACTCTACATAGTGGTATTATAAAGAACTCTTCCTTTCAGTAGTTACACAAAAGGTCTCTAGACCAATTCCAGCTGAAGGTGAGCTTCCCATGAAACATGCCATAGACACGGATATTAATTAGATTTGGTTTAGTGGTTCTGAGACCCTATGCAGCTGAACTTAAGCCAAACTAAGCTGTTGGTTTCTATTTCGTGTACTAGAGAGATCCTGCCTGTACCCTTACTGGAACAGGTCAGGGCACTTATATTTTCAACCCAGGAATCTGCAGAGGGAATTTGATGGGCATAAATGTTGGTATCCGCTCCCAGTGATGACAGTTTATTAGGTTATGGATGCCCCCCCCAAGAATAGTAACAGTAATAAGGCTTTCAGTGAGCCAATGTGAAGTGTAAACTTATGAATCTGATTACAAAGAGGACTGTGGGTGGAATGTGTAGATTCCAGAAATATGTTGTATAGAGAATTTATCAGAAGGGAAATATTTAAAAATAATACCAAGATCTTCTCAACACTGAACTTTGCTCTCATTTCTATGGAAACTTTAGTTTAGTTATATTTTTTTTCTCATTGATCCAAAAGCTTTCAGTCTCATCTCTTCTACAATTTTGCTTTCTCCTTTATTCCTATATCCCTTTATCTCATCCTACTTTTAATTTTCATCTGTATATCTCTTCTTTTGGACAGATAGAGGGAATGGGAAGTAGGGAGTCGAGGAGGGAGAAGGAGGGGAAGAAGAGGATGAAGAAAGGAGGAGGAAGGAATACAGCTGAGGTGTTGCAAATTACAACAGGCAGGGATTTCTTGAGCCCAGTGTCGACTAAGTTCACGTTCCTGTGCTTGCTTCTCCCAGATGTCTTCATTTGGGCAACTCTTCCCACATGCAGTGAAGGAGGAAACTGTAGGATATCTTGGTCTACTTCTTAGAATTTCACAAAATATTGAGTATGTGCGCTTCTTTATTAGACTCATTGCAACCAGAATACATTTTTCCTCCCATGAAGGAGATGATTCTGTGTTGGTATGGTTCACAGGTTTGTGACATTAGTTTAATTACTTTAGGTTCAACTCTGTGTGCACATATGTGAGTAACACAAGGAGGATTGATTAATGAAATGAAATCTTCATTAGGGGAATAATTCCCTAAATATGTACTACATACTGTTGACACAGAACAAGCCAGTTTTAAGAATCCACTAGATACTCTGTTTTTTCATGTGTCTAGTTACACCTATATGCTTATATATATTGTAGATTCTGAATGCAATGATTGTGTCTGACTTGCTGTGATGCTCTGATCTAAAGGTTTTATCATAGAAAGAGGACTGAGGTTACAGTATAAACACAAAATTCATATATTTGAAATTAAACTTCAGCTTTTTTGAGTTTTTTTTGTGAAATAGTAGATTAATGTCTGAAACCTTAGCTGCACCTTCCATTTGAGGAGCCCAGGCACATATTAATTTTGGACTCATGTTTTGGCTTCCATACACAGTAGTGAAGCAAAGGCCAGGAGACTAGTGAGAGCTTACAATATGTCCTCATATTGTAAGTCTTCTTCTGTAATATAGTACCAGAACAATGAATATACAAAGGGGAAATTTAAAAACAATAATATTAAAAATAATAGTTTTATTTCAACTATTAATTGTATAGCCACTGAAAAATATTCTGTGGGACATAAGAATAGTCATATTATTATCGTATTAACAAATACGCAAAAACAAAACAAAGTAAATACAAAAACCCACTTCCACAACAAAACCACAAATGAACAAAGCATGCTGATAGGGTAGCCATAGTGTTAAAATGGCCCTGGGCAACTTGTGGCTTTTGGGTCAAAAGCTAACTACAAGTTGTAGAGTGTAACCTAGGCTGAATTCAACAGTGTTTCAGCTTGAACATAGAGGGTTACAAAGCAGAACTTACAGATACAATCATCCTCCATAGCAAGGAATGTGTTCCAAGACAGCAGTGGATGTCTGACACAGCAGACAGGACCAAATGCTTCCTAGTCTGCGTTGTTTCTTATAGGTACATATCTATAGTATCACTTAACTTACAGACTAGCAAAATCAATAAGTAATAATTTCTAATAAAATAAAGGTGACCCCATACTATAATACAAATTATGTGAAATAAAAAGTGTTCCCAGAGGTCTTGTAAGCTAAGCTTATCTAAATCCTCTTTTTTTCTTCTAGAGGTGGCCAGCTACTTCTATCGCCAATGGCAAGATGCTCCACAACTTCTCCGCTTTCCACCCAGACACCTTTTACCTTGTAGGCATTCCAGGCCTGGAGAACGCCCATGGATGGATTTCCATACCTTTTTGTTGTGTTTACTTGGTGGCTTTGCTGGGGAACACCACAATTCTATGGGTAATCTGGACAGACCGAACTCTGAGAGATCCTATGTTCTACTTTCTGGCGGTCTTGTCAGCCATAGATGTAGCGCTCTCCACGTCCTCAGTACCTCGGATGTTAGGTATTTTCTGGTTTGATGCACATGAGATCGGGTTTGGAAACTGTGTAGCTCAGATGTTTCTGATACACACCTTTACAGGAATGGAGTCTGCGGTCTTGCTGGCCATGGCGTTTGACCGCTATGCTGCCATTTGTGAGCCTCTCCGCTACACAGCAATTCTCACAGCCAGGGCGCTGGTAGGCATTGGAGTGGGGGTTGTCATGCGCCCAGTCCTGCTCATGCTGCCCATCCTGTACCTAACCCACCGTCTTCCCTTCTGTGAGGCCCGGGTTATCACCCACTCCTACTGTGAACACATGGGCATTGCCAAGTTAGCTTGTGCCAGCATTCGCCTCAATGGCATTTACGGGCTTTTTGTGGCTTCTTTTCTTATTTTTGATGTGGCGCTGGTTGGAATCTCGTATGCTTACATTCTCCGTGCCGTTTTCCGCCTCTCTTCTAAAGACGCGCGACGCAAGGCACTGAGCACATGTAGCTCACACGTTGGCGTCATGCTTGTCTTCTACACACCCTCCCTCTTCTCCTTCCTCACTCACCGATTTGGCCAAAAAATCCCTCGTTACGCCCACATTCTTGTTGCCAGCCTCTACGTGGTCATACCACCAGCGCTCAACCCTATGATTTATGGTGTGCGAACCAAGCAGATACGTGAGCGAGTTGTTCACACTTTCACTTGCAAGTAGAATGTTCCAGATCTTTAGTTCTAAAGGGCTTAACTACAAGCCAGGAAGTCAGTTTATTGACAGTTCTCTGGCTTGCCATTTGAAGAGATCTTTGCTCAAGAAGGTCCTATAGTGATTAAAGCAACAGGCATAAGAGAATATTTAGGGGTCTGGAATCCTATGTATTCCTTTGCCTTAATGTTCAGTGTTATGCTGAGAGAGAGAGAGACAAGAGAGAGAGAGAGAGAGAAAGGGAGAGAGAGACAGAGGGACGAGAGACTGGAAACCCCATTAGTCATTAATACAGAGACCACATGAAACTCTGTGACTGAAAATAAAATAATATTCTACTTGGAAATAATTACTTGATTCCAGCTTCCTTGATTTTCTGTGATAAAATGAATAAATTAAAATGAATATAAAAAAAACTATTTATGTTTTTCTCAAGCATAACTTTAATGCATTGGTCTGAGGTCATCACTGGGATATTAAATTTCACAAATTTAACTGTTTTACTTTTCACCAACATCTGTAGGTACCGCATGCCCTCACTCTGCTGCTGTCTCCTTTGTGAGCAAGTACCAAATGTACCCAGCATCTAGGCAAAAGAATGTAAATATTGTTTATAAGAAAATTTGAATGTACAGAATTAAAAAAAAAAACCAGCATTTGAGGCCTGATACTTTGTAAACATGAGAGCATTATATGTACAAAATAAAAGTTCAGTGCCACCTACTGTTAACTGTGGTTGTCTGGGTATTCTTCCAAATATCTTGCATTGTATTTAAAAGAGATAACTGTGACATCACTTCTGAATCACAGGCAATTTTCTTTATTATTCCAGAATTGTTGTAAATGGAAGACGATGTACACAGAAAAGAAAAATTAAATATAAAAACAGTTGCTGCTCAGGGGGCTAGAAATAATTTTCAAGAGTCAGGTTCATCATCAGATGACGCGAAAATACTTTTGCAATCATATGCCATTTCTAATTCGACTGGGAAAATACTCTGCTTACAAACATAGAAGATTAGTTATATTCAGTTTTCATAAACTGAGCCCATTAAAGTGTCTGGAATTAATTAATGTAGGTTAGAAAAAATTATATCTAAATATGACTCTCCAAAGGTTGTATTTCTGATGTTCTAAACAAAATTGCCTGCATTATTATTATTATTATTATTATTATTATTATTATTATTATTATTATTATTTAAGAAACAGGGAGGTGTGGTGGTGCCTTTAATCATAGTCCTTGGGAGGCAGAATCAAGTGGGTCTCTGAGAGTTCAAGGCCAACGTGGCCAACAATGCTAATTTTAGGATATCCAGCGTTATATAGTGAAAACATAGCCAGACATTATGGAGAGAATGAGAGACTTTGGAACATTCACCCCTAAGTGGAATGTCTCCATCAAATCTCTCCTCTCAGAGCTCAAAGAACTCAGAGGCCAAAGAGCCAGAGGGACTAGAGGACTTCAAGAAAACAAGGTTCTCCTTGTCAATAGGGTCAGTGAACACAAGTATTCTCAGAGACCAAAGCAGCAAGCACAGGACCTGCGTTGGTCTGCATGAGATGGGTTTTAGAGCTGGAATAAGTGGCCACATGTCCCCATCCCTAACCCAGAAGCATTCTCCAACTGATAACCACTTGCAATTTGCAAGTCTAACAGGGGAAACAAGCTCCTGCATTGGCCATCTATTGCTGGACAGGACGGGTCAACAGAAAATGAGCTCAGTTACCCTTGGAGTTCCTTTTGTCACTGTGTCATGTTGGAGCTCTGCTTTTTTTTCTTTAAATCTCTTATGAGTTATTTATTTTTATTTTATTTAGATATTGTTTCTCTTCTCTGATTTTAACCATGTATGCCCTTTGCATACATATTTTGGCTTCCAGTTTAGTGTTATTTTGGCATTCCTGAGTATGAATGAGTAGATCTTTTTTAGTGCCTTCTTTTGGGTTCTTTTTTTTTTTTTCTGCTTGTTTACTTTGCCCAATCCTGATATGTTACTTTTTGTTTTATCTTAATTTATTATGTTACACAAAACAAAAACAACATGAAATAAAAACCCTGCAATTTATAAGTGATATAAAGAAGAAAACAAAATTATAACTTACATATAGGAGAAACTGTATCTTATCATACAGCTGCTTTTTAATACCCGAGGTAGCATTTGGACAAAACAGTGAAAAGACAACCAGCTAAGAACAGCAAAGGATTTTAAATGTTTAGTAAGAAAGATATGCATATTTCTAACAATATATTATCAGAAAAAAATGGAAATCAAGAGTTGCAGTAATACCATTTTCTATAAGCCACGTTGGCACGTTTTCTTTCCCTTGGCATTTGTCTTTTGAATAGTATATTTAGAAACCCTGTATTACTGTTAGTAAGAATCAGAAAAACTGGAATTTGTGTTTTGAATACGCTACCATTATTTTAATGTATAATCTTATCAGCTTGTTAGAAACTCCATGTAGGGTTATAGATGAGCCTCATTACTGGCATGCTTTTATCTAAAGTTGAATTTTGGTTACTACTGGGGTCAGAGAAAGATTGAAAATAAGCATTTGCAGAACTTGGTTAGCTATTAGCAGTACTTGGGACTCTTGGGAGGGAGTCTAGAACTAGAGACACCTTGCAATGGGGTGTGAGCATGCCTTTCTCTTAGCCTGTCTGGCTCAGAGATAAGACAGTAAATCATTAGTCACTTGCACCAAACATCAGGACAGGCTCCTTTATTCCTAGTGATGCTATTTTTTATACTTATGAAACATGTCTCTCAGTGCCTCTGAGAGGCTTTGGTCCCCAGAGAGTTCATTGTTTGTGTGCTTCATTTTAAGGACAGTGCTTACCATATAAAAGCCAGACAGTGCTTACCATAAAAAAACAAAACAAAACAAAACAAAACAAAACTCCAACTCATTTAGAGTTGGTGGTGATGGAACTGTCCTGGGACAGCTCATCTAGAAAGCTTTGTTCAAAGTCTGGCTTTATCCTAGAGATTTCTTATTGTGGCCATTTACTGAACTTCAGTTTTAGAGGGTAAAATGCATGACAGGAACAAAGTGAAAAAAAGCAAGCTAACTGGCCATGGAAAGTATCTGTGAGACAGGAATGTAACAAGGTGAGCAATTACAGAGACTCAGGCACCTGCCCTGATGAAGACTTCAGTCAGTCTTGTGTAAGCGATGTGGGTGTGTATACGTTTATCTTGACAACTGTCAGTGGTGTCTCTGTGCATTTTTGGTCCACCTGCCTTACCACTTTGCACACTGTGATATCTTTAATAGGTGTTGTTTTAAATATATTAACACACAGCTGTACATATTGATGAGCTACAGTATGTCAATCAGTGTACACAATGTGTAATGAACCGATTAAAATAATTGACGTACTGTCACTTTATGTGTTGATTAGTTCTTGTTGCTGAATATAACTAACATCTTTGCCTGTGGACATTTTGAAATAATTAATTATCGTCAGCCAAAGCCACCTCACCTGGTACAGAACATCATGACAGTTTGAATGTACAGTCTCTCCCACATTTCTTCACCGTCCTTGCATTGGCATCCTGGCCCATTTCCAGATGCCAATAATGACGAGTTTAATTTTAATTTCCAGTTCTGCCATTCTATATTGGAATTGAAATCTTTAAATAAACAAATGGAAGAGAGTACAGGCATAAATGTGGGTCAATGCTGAGCAAAATAGTTAACTTTTGGTGTTATGTGGAGAATATGGTTTATGTCTCTTTTTGTGGCATTGTGCCTTTAGTATTTCTAATATATCCTATATTCAAGGTTCTATTATATTGATTTTTCTCTTTAACTTGGCTTCAGTACACTACTCAGATGATTATTTCATTGTTTTTTGTTTAATATTTCTTTTCGTAAATTTGTTATATATGTAGGAAACAAGATGGCATGTTATTGCCATCATGCTCTCTGAATCCCTACTCCACATTCTTATAGTTCCTAAATTAGAGAGTGTTTCTGAGCCTCACCCTCTTTTTCATCATATTCTATAAGTATCATCTTTATGAAAATTATAGAGATGAAATAGAACAAATATTGTAAATTTTCTGGTACAAACATTTAACTTATACTGGTGAGGATTTTAGGAAGTTGCTTAAACCCTAGAAGTATATCAGACACTACCGAGAACAAGACCTAGAGTGTGCTTATCTTTATACTTTCACTATCTTATGTGTAGTAAGTTTACACGTTCTATATAAAGCCAAATCAATTAATGCCTTAAATTACATAAAAGGTACTTACTTGATACATTGTGATATAATTTTGTACACATTTGACGGGCTAGTTTCCCAGATATAAAGGAACATCTCTACAATTAAGGCAATGTCATTTTATTTTAAATTATTGAAAAAATATTTCTGTAAGGAAAATGAAATTATGGCTAAAAGATGTGTGGCATATTCGTCAGGATTATTGATATTGGGGAAAAGCCAATCAAACTTAAAACACTCACTTACTACTGTTAGAAAGACCATATGGAAAAAAATAGAATAAATATTAATGTATATGCAGATAAATTACAATCCTGGTTCAACTGTAGGCAGACATAAATGTTGCAGACAGTTATGAAATGTATTATGAAGGCTCCTCAAAAACAGTAACATATAATCTAGCATTCCTGAGTGTATACTCTAAAGAACTGAAAAACGTTACCTGACACAGAAAACACAAAATATAAACTTTAATAGAATGGACAGTAGCAAGCCTATTAATATTGTAGTACTGTAATTAACATCCGAGATGCCTAAGCATAGTAAATGACCTACAACAGGAGCATATAAAAAGAAATGTGATAGAACAGAATGCAAAATAGAATACTACTTAAAGAAGTAAAAATCGTACAATTGGCAAAAAAAAAAAAAAAAAAGCAGCAATATAGGTAAACCAAGTTTCATTATGTTAAGTATTGTAAACCAGTCTGGGAGGATGAAAACTGCATGTCTCATGGGTATTTCAAGTAGAAGCCAGTTTATGCCTTTCTAATCTATTGTATAAGTGATGAGAAAGGAATACGCAGAAACAATGTGGTCAAAGTTTATAAGAATGGTGGTGAATTTTTCAAATTAGAGTACATTTGGTCACGGAAGAGATATGTGTGTGTGAAAGTGAGAGTGTGTAAGAGACAGGGACAGAGGTAGAGAGATAGAGACAGAGAGAGAGATACAGAGACACAGAGAGACAGAGAGAAAGATACAGAGAGAATGAAGATTGATATCTACATGCTCAAAGGATTATGAGAATTATATAAAGAATATTACAGTTTCAGGCTCCAATAGGAACCACAATACAGCTAAGTAGTAGTGTGTGAAGGACAGTAACATTGTCCATTTTATGTTGTAGTGAATACGATGAAAAGATGCTAAAACGCTAGGAGAGCAGTGAACAGCTCAGTTGTGACATAAGAAAGGTGCAAATTTAACCTACCTACAGAAGAACTCTAGAAAGAAACTACATGTCGAGGAAAGGCCTTCATAAAGTTTGGTTGTCTCTCACAGAGGCTTCCAGTGATTTGAGTTTGTCACATTTTCTGAGAAATTGGCACACTTCAAAAGGTAGTTTGTGGAGGTTCTGAACTGGGTTTTAAACAGACAGATCTGCACGATGGGTAAAGCAGACAGTGGAAAGAACTGGGTTAGATATGGGGTGAAGCTATTTTGGAAAAATGAAAGGTCGAGATGTTAGAAAATTTGTAGTTTTTCTGACAACTGAAGTTATGCTCACTGAAGAGTTTAACATGACCAGATTATAGAAGCAAAAGAAGAAAGCGATGAGAGGGCCAGGAAAATTGAGGGTGGGAGATTGTAGCAGCACCTAGAATGTAAGAGTTCAAATGTGTAACAAGTGTGTGAGCTGGTAAAGAGAGGGGAAAAGTAGTCAAGGTAGAGTGTGTGAGTACAGGGGGAGGCAGGACTTAACCCTAATGTCGATGCTCTTGGCAAAGGATGTCAAATAGAAATGATATTTATTATCTATCTTTTTCCACATGTATGTATATGCGTGTGTGTGTATATATCCATATATATGTGTGTGTCTATACATGTATTCATAAACAATAGAGTTCCTTTTCGTTGATTCAGCAAGGCATGCTCTACATAATTATTTTGCCTCTTCCTGTGCTCTGAAATCTTCTCCCACACCTTCATAATGGAAATAACACATAAAATGATTCAATTAAGTTTTCACATATTCATTGGAAGCCAAGACCAAACTTCTACTCTTAACTGTGATAAACCAAGGTCCTAATTTCACCTTTATCCCTTCTGCTATTTTCAACATTTTATCACAAAATCAAATGCTAACATCCCCTTAACCATATCAAATATATTCAAAACGTGTATATTTTCTAGCTGAAATATAAACTACCTTAATGATGATTACATAATTTTATGTATTTATTTATTGGCTTCCTCATGAGGTTTCAAACTTTTAAATCATTTAGTACAATCTCTACCAGTCAGTATATTTTTTTCCCAAGAGAAAGAAAAATAAAACATGCATTAAATTCCCAGAAAGGCTATATTTTTCAGGTTACTTATATTTTTTTAAGTTTTAGAAATTTCTAAAGAAAATATTAAAATGAGAGTCATTTTTGTGCATGAATATCTGGCCTTTGTCTTCATAATTCATTAGTTCTTGAAAAAAGTTATTTAAATTTTTAGACATATAAGTACAAAGAGGTGCAAAAATTACTATTTTAAGTCTTATAAGAACAGCTTGGACTTAAGTATTTATGATATAAGCAGTTATTTCTGATGTTCGTTGTTATCAGGAAAGATAAAACCTTTTTATCTAACTGTACAGGAATTCAGAGACCTTGGGTAAGAAGAGCTGGTGTGTGTCGGTAAGAGAGACAGTTGGTGCCTGGCATAAGCATCCATAACAACGATAGAAGCATGGTCTCTCCTAATCATACACAGTTCCACCCCTACTTTTTCCTTCTTCTGGGAATTCCAGGGCTGGAGGATGTACACATATGGATTGGTGTTCCATTTTCTGTTGTGTATTTGACTGCTCTTCTAGGAAACATTACAATTATTTTTGTGATTCAGACTGAACACAGTCTCCATCAGCCCATGTTCTACTTCCTGGCCATTCTGTCATCTATTGACCTTGGCTTGTCCACATCCACCATACCCAAGATGCTTGGAATCTTCTAGCTCAACCTAAAAGAGATCTCATTTGAGGGATGTCTCATCCAGATGTTCTTCATCCATCTGTGCACAGGCATGGAGTCAGCTGTGCTTGTGGCCATGGCCTACGATCGCTACGTGGCCATCTGTAATCCTCTCCACTACACACTGGTCCTGACAAACAAGGTGGTATTCAGCATTGCTTGGGTCATCTTCCTGAGACCCTTAGCCATTGCCATCCCCTTTGTGGTGCTCATCCTGAGACTACCTTTCTGTGGACATCAAGGCATCCCACACACATACTGTGAGCACATGGGCATTGCACGCCTGTCCTGTGCCAGCATCAAGGTCAACATCATCTATGGCTTGTGCGTCATCTCTATCCTGGTGTGTGACATTGTAGCCATTGTACTCTCCTATGTGCACATCCTCTATGCTGTCTTCTGTCTACCTTCCAGGGATGCTCGACTTCATGTTGGTGTCATGCTTTCCTTCTACACACCAGCCTTTTTCTCTTTCATGACCCATCGGTTTGGCCGAAATGTTCCCAGATACATTCATATCCTTCTCGCCAACTTTTATGTTGTCATTCCTCCTGCTCTTAACCCTGTTATTTACAGTGTTAGAACCAAGCAGATTAGAGAGAGGGTAGTTATGGGCATCAGAAATAAACTATAAACAGATGACTGAGATTTAAAGAGTTACATGGGAAAACTGGACCTTACTTTCCGCACTCTAAAATGAAATTATGACGTCTGGGAAAAAAAGTTATCCAATATGCAGATTCATAAAGCATTTTATTTCTAGCAATGAGAAAATAGAACCCCAAGTTTTTAATATAGACAACAGCTCTAATCGCATATCAAAAATGCCGATCATAGTATGATGAAGTAGCATTTACATGAAAAATCACATGGGCACAGTAAAAGTGACTAGTATAATCACGAGTATTTACAGAACACACAAGATACATTCAGTTCTCAAGCTTTATGTTAATGCTAATTCTTCTGCGTGATCGCGTGAATATGTAATGTGTGTGTGTGTGTGTGTGTGTGTGTGTTCCTATGGGAACATGCGCATGTGCATAGCTGCATGTTCACGTGTGTTTGCACGTGTGTGTATGCCTAGCGCCTTTCTTATTTCCTGAGACATGGCCTCTCTCTGAAACAAGTGCTCATTAATTCTGCCACAGTGGGTGCCCAGTGAGCTCTGGAGATCTTCCTGTCTCTGTCTGACCCCTCTCAGTGCTGAGGTTACAGATAGGCATCACCACAACAGGCTTCTACACAGATGCCTGAGCTCGGAGACTAGGTCCTTGTACTCAAACTAGTTTTTATTTCTGAAATATGGAGCAATCACTGGTTAGCAATGCTTTTTGTCACCACAGAATCTCAGACAGTGACCTGGTATGGAATAATGTAGAGAGGATGTAAGCTATGGGAAACAGATACATGAAGAGACACAGGAAAACCATGAAACCTAAAGGAATAAGACTTTACACATGGCCAGGTAGTTAAGAACAGAGAGTCCTTTTATGAAGTACTACACATTTATTTGTGTGTGGTGTGTGTCTGTGTGTCTGTGTGTGAGTGCATGCAGCTGTGTCTGTGTGAGTGTATAACATGTAGATTCAGATGCCTACAGTGGCTAGAAAGGGGCACTGATCTCTTGGTTCTAAGTTACAAGGTGTAAAGCACATGACATGGGTGTGGGAAACTGAATTCTGTCCCCTTGGAATTGCTCTTAAACATTCAGTCCATTTCTTAGTCCCATAAAGTATGTTTTTTCTTTCTTTTTTTCAGGGGGGGTTTCATTTTTTAAATTAATTACAATTGATGCATTTTGTATTCCAGCTGTAGCACCTTCCCTCATCTCCCAATCCCATCTGTCCTCCCTCCTCCCTCTTCCCCTCCCTGCCCCTCCCCCAGTCCACTTATAGGGACATGAACTCAGTGACTGGCTCTTTGACCCCCTCCCCCTGAGTGGGGAGCAGCCTTACCAGGCCACAGAGGAAGACAGTGCAGACAGTCCTGACAAGACCTGATAGGCTAGGGTCAGATTCTTTCTTAAAATAAAGAAATAATATTAGCACAAGTGTACTAATAATATTAGCACAAAAGTGTAGGTTAAGAGCAAAGTACAGACATAGAAACTGTTTGCTTTTCATTCAAGACAGCATCCAGCGCCTGTGGGTTGACATCGTGTTGGGAACTGAGCCCAGAATGAAGAAGAGCAACAGCTCCACAAAGTTAATGTCCACAGGAATGAATGAGCACCAGGCAACAATGAAGTGTTAAGTAAAACAAACCAAAACACAAGCGACCTGCAGATTTTTCCTCATCTGTACTTCTTCAAAAATATTTAATGAATGTTTAAATGGTAATAAACATACTATGTAGTAAGCCCATGAATTGATTGATTTGGTTTCTCAATAAGCATCTTAATAACAATCATATAAAATATATGGCATTAGTATTATATATTAAACCAACTGTATATGAGCATTATTAGCTGATTATAACGAAATAAAAGACTATTTATTGTTCCAGTTAGTAATTTAAAATACACAATCTGGACATATTAGAAATTTAGAACAAAAATATGTGTATACACTTTATACATAATAGTTGGTACAAGGTACTACAGGTAAGAAAATTGAGCTCCCAAGGATAAAGATAAGAAACAGCCTAATGTCATGGAATTAAGAAACAATAAAAATAGACATTGCTAATAAGATAGCAAGTAATGTTTCAGAAGTATATAATGTGCTCTGAGTAGTTCACTTTATTTTAAAATTCAGGATACAAATTTTCACAAACACACAGCAATAAAAATTTTTAAAAGACTATCAATATGGAGTGGAGAGGGCATGAGAAGGGTGAGAGGGAGGGTAGCTAAATTTTCCTGCTAGACTGGGTGTGGGTCAGACAGAAGCTAGAAGGATCAGGTAGGGCGTGGAGAACGAGTTCAGGGAGAATCGGCTGAAATTGGGGAGTGTCGGGGTAGTGGTGTGGAAACCTAGCTCAGTGGAAACTTCCTGGAATCCATAAGTGTGAACTCAGTGAGAAAGCCTAGTATGGAGAATACGGACTCCCAACTGGTCGTCTTTAGTAGCTGGACAAAGTTTCCAGTGGTGGGACTGGGTTAAGCTGTAAGCCAAGGGGATTAGATGCAGATCCCAAACAACCCAGGCTGATGTAGGGTGGAAGATTCTCTGCACAAATACACAGTGAAGCCCCCTTCCTGAGGTGAACATTTATACAGCCCACTGAACCTATAGAGGACAAGCTGCTATCTGCAGGGAGCCTTCACCCTTACCTTCTAGTCTCTTTGACTCTAGAAAGTGCCCTACAGGGCATGGATAGAGAAAGTGGACACTAACCTAGCCTCAAAACGCTCCACCTACAACCTGTCCTTTCTACAAGATGTGCTGGGACAATGGAGCAATGAACGTTGTGGGGCACCCAAAAAAGTTTGGCTTAACTTGAGGCCCATGCCATGAGAAGGAGGACACGCCTTACACTTCCCGGATGGCCCGGAGATCTAGGATACAGCCAAATACGACTGCCAAAAAAAAAAAAAAAAAAAATCTGTGAAATTATTCCCAATGATGGCCCATGGACTGGGCCTTTTCCAGCCTTCATCAGAGAGCCTTCCTCCAGCAGCAGCTGGGAGTGGGTGCAGAGAGAGCCTGGATTGGAGGTCTCCATCAGGTCCCTCCTCTTAGACATTGGTGAATGTGGGAGAAGGGGAGGAAGATTTTAGGAGTCAGAGGGGATGGAGGACACCAGGAGAACAGGGCCCATCAAATAAAACAAGCAGGGCTCACATGGACTCCAGAGATTGAAGCAGCAAGCTCAGGCCTGCATGGGTGTGCCCCGGCTTCTCTGTGTATGTTATGGTTTGGTGGGCCTCTGAACACTGTGTGACTCTTTTGTCTGCTCTTGGGACTCTTTTCCTCCCATTAGGTTTCCTTGTCCAGCCTCAAAATGAGGCCCTTTTCTTGTCTTATTTCATCTTGTTTTGTTCTGCCTGGCAGTTACCTTTTGGAGACCTGCTTTTTTCTAAGAGGAAATGGAGAGGGAGTGTATCTGGGGAGAGGGAAGGTGGGTGTGAGAAGCTGTGAGGATTGGAAGAAGGGGAAACTGTGGTCATGGTGTTTTGTATGAGAGAATAACATTTTCAATTAAAATAAAAATATTTAAAATACCATAGAAATAAACCAAAAATTTAGATTCTGAATATTACTTTCAGGTTAATTTAATTCATCTCTCTGATATCACTTAATGTAGACATAGAGTAGAAAATAAGCAGTTGGATGTTAAAGTTTTAGTAATTAACATGAAATATAATATAATTCAAAATGGAATTATAAAAAAAGCACTTTGTATTTCTTTGATGTCAGAAAAATTAAAAAAATGGAGAGGCTATATTTGAAAATGATTCCAGTGTAAGAGGCTGTGATTAAAATAATTACAGAAAATAAGGGGCACACAAACTATTTGTAAAGTTAACAACATAGAAAATGGTGTTCCTTTGAAATAAAATTCGAAAGTGGTTGCAGAGTCCTCAGAAGGGTTTTGAACCCACAGGATTGCGATGGTATGATGCAGCTCTGAGGTTCTCTCAGTCCCTGAATGGACCCCTAAGCTAGTTTCTCAGGGGAGCACCTTCTCTTCATAAAGTCTGCATGTGGAAAGGCTGTGAAGGGAATCCTGGCTACCTGTCACTGTGGAGAGGAGCACCTGTCCGCCTTAACTGTGCTTCCCACTGAAGAGCTTTACAGCAGGTGAGTCATTCCCACACAGGGGACACAGGGGGTGGACTGGAAATTACATCAGGTGGCACTAACTAGGTGCTGCTCCGGTCAAGGTGTCACCTCCCGTTGTCGCAGCTGTCACAGGGGGAGGGAAGGTCACACACAAGGCAAGTCCTCTCTGACAAGTCTTGGTGAGTGAGGGCTGGTGTCCAGAGCCACAGCCCATGCTGAGTCTTAGTGATCTCTTGGATACACTTGGCATAGCTTCGTGGAGAGCACTTAGATGTGACCTTGCATTATGGGCTCCAATACGTGTGTTAATATAGGTTAATGAGTCAGATTCTCAATCGTTTGCATGATACAGTGTCAATTTGCCCCAGTCTTATTTTGTTCAAATATAACCAAGAAGACCATACGTGTTACGGGAACACAATGCAATTGAGGAGATTTATAAATCTATCCTGGGAAGTTCTTTTTTTATTAACTGTTGGTAAGGGATTCCTGAAGGGTGTTTTCATTTGTTACCTCACTAAATAGACAATGTGCCCTTAGAATGATGATTTAAAGTACGGGCTCCTAATCTAATTGACCATCATTGCTTTTAACCTCTATCAAATGGTGTGAGCTCAGTTCACACGGTTCCTTCGAGAAGAATGAATTTTTGTGTGTATGATTGACATGGTGTGTTTTACTTGCAAATCAGATATTAGAATTGGAACCATCTTCATGCATAATAATAACAAAATTTATTTCTCCTTTGTCTTGGCATCAAGGCATTTTACGCAGCTCCTTCTATGCAGCCATGCTGATACTATTATTATGGTCTCAGACTTTACAGATAAAGAAAGTAAAACTCTGGAAATAATTTGTTCAAGGCTGTTAATGAGCGGTAGAGAGAGGTTGTAAATGTGGATTTTTC